AAGTATGAACAGAGCCATGAAATCAAGCTGGTTGGGCCTTGAGGAAGTGCCTAAATTTTGGTCAGGTGGCTGAATCCTCTGTTTTAAGTGACAGACAGACATAAATTTCTGTCTGGAAGTATTGCAAAAAGCTATCCATTTAAAAAAATAAAAGTAGAAATTATAAAGTGAAGGGCAGAAGTGGCGTGCAGGCTATGTACTTCAGAGCCTTGGAAAGCAGTGGCCGTGTGAATCCTGTGAGCGGGCCTTGTGTCACGGCACTGATTTATCCCGAACGTGTGCAGCAGTGTCTCTATCACTGCTTATACACGTGTGTATCAGTTTGTCCTTGATTTCCTCGATCTGCAACACCTACAAAATATGTTGATCAATCATTGCTCTCTTGTGCGTGTGTGATGCCGGCTCTCTGTTTTAAATGCAGATATCGTAGTATATTGTTCTGAAAGTTTAGCTACATTGCAGTCCCAGAATTATTATGTGGGGTCTGCTGTCCGAAAACCACCATGAGAGATGCCGTAGAGGAGGGCTTTGGACCACCTGGGGTTCTTTAACGGCGCCTGAATTTGAGCACATGGGCCTACAGTACTTTTGCCTTCACCGAAAATAGAGCCGCTGCAGCTTGGATTCGATCGTGCGACCTGCAGGTCAGCAGCCGAGTGCCTTAGCCACAAGACCACCACGGCAGGGCTTAGTCAATGGTGCTGAGGTTAGAAAGTGCTTTCCGTGTACCGGTCTTTTCTGAAGGTGCCAATCGCGTTGATGAAACAAAAAAGCATCGATATATTCTTTTATTTATTCTTTTAAGTGAGCAATTTGGTTAACATTTGTACTACCTTGTTCTCGGCCTTGTTAGGGCTCTCTCGTTGCCTGAACAACGCACGAAGCACTAACAAATCATCGCAGAATCAAGATACACAATCTGCAACTTTCACCACAAATGCTGCCATATGCGATTGGTTTCGTTTTTTTGCCCAACAAGACATAGCGGATTTAGCTCATGAGATTATCGACATATTAGGGACAACACTCGATGACCTGAGGTCGTCCTTAAATGATACGGATGTCCACATGTTAGGCGACATCTTCAGTGGGCCCTCAGGAAGGCCTTCACAGGATTATACAGAAAGTATACTTTTCTGTATTTTTCGAGGATAGCTAATCGTACAAAAACCGTCTACTGTAGGATGTTTTAAGTGCATACTGTATTATTCAGAAAAGGTCTGCATGAACTTCGTGTGGCACCTCGTCGAGAACGCGCGAGCATTATATGTATCTGACAATCTTGCTAGCGTAACTCCTAATCATATGATTGTTTCTTCGTGTTTGTTTTTTTATACCTCATAGTTATACATGAAAAATTCTTTTTGCGGCATGTGTGTGGTGGTTTCGAAGTTTTGTATTTTGCGCATACATGAGCACAAACGATTGTCCCTGTGGTCGGCAACGAACAGGTAACGACACAGGCGACATGGTATCGACCGGTCGCAATCACAGAAATCTTATTGCGAGTGCACATCATTTTTCTTTTTCTGCTTGGCAAAATTAACACCTCTAAACAGCTCCAAGTCTAAGCAGTCAAAGCCAAGAGCTTTAGCGGGCGTCTTAGAGAAAGCAGCGTGGTTAGGCATCACGGCAGGTAAATCTGCTTAACTCTGTTTCCCTCTCACATTTAGATGGAAGAAAGTGATGAATGCAGGTTCAGACAATGAAGAAATAGATGCGTTAATGCCTGTTTACGTAGAGCAAACAGTGCTTTCAGTAAAATAAGCCAGTGCTGCAAAAGCAGATTGTGTGGTACTACAATGTCGTGGTCTGCATTGCGTGGCATAATGTTCATGTGAGCACGCAAGGGTCAATTTCCCATATTTCTCCGTAGTTGGAAGACAACTGAAGTTTTTCTAAACTCGTTTGTGATACGCTTCGTGCAACATCATCATTTGCAGTTCTGAACTTGACAATGTTCAGCATAGTCGTTGCCATGATAACAGGATAACGTGTAGGTTTTAGAGTACACGACATGGTTATGTGTGCTGCATGCACGCTTTGTTGACCAACATTTGTAGTTGCATAAAAACAGTTTTGAAAAATTATTTGGGCTTTTCATTTACGTGCAAATGATGTAGCTTTTGTAGTTTTGGCATGTACGATTGCTGACAGGCGCAGAAAGTTTCTTGTAAATCAGCACCTGCACATTTATTGTCATATGTTACAGAATGTTGGCAACGAGTTAGAATCCTGGAAACGCACATGGCGATGGTGGAGTAGCAAGGCCAGTTGTTTGCTACAATACAGCAGCAAATATAAAGATCTACGGAGCAAATATCTCCAGATACCTTCAATAAAAGGACTCAATCACAGCCTCATTTTGTCAAGTTCCATGGAGTTGTTGTTTGAAACTCATTATTAATAAAGTAAGATTTGCGTGTCACTGCGTGTTTATATATTTTCGTTCGGTATGGCATTTACTGAGCTTTTAATAACAATGTTCAAGGTATTCGCTTTGAAGCAGCAAGTGCATGCTTTTATTCTCAGGCTGAATTTTTCAAATTTATTTATGGAGAACAATCACATAGAAAAACTGCACTTCTAATAGACAAAGCATGCATCTTAAAAGTCTTGGATGCATTTTATAAAAAGCTTTGAATGCTGTCCTGAGGTGGACCTGAATGCACACTAAAAATATCCGTGAATGTCGTCCTCAGGGCAACAAGAGGATGATCCGGGGCCGGACAAATGGTCGGGATTAGTATTAGTCGAGGTTCATTTGAAAATGACCTCGGGTCGTTCTTTCATACTAGGCAGGGCGTCCTCAGGACAACCTGAGGTCGTTCAGTGTTGTCTGGGATGGTGCTGAACATTCTGAATATCCTCCAATATTCTTTAAGAATAACAGATACCAGGAGACCACTGTGATCATTGCCTAACGTTTGGACTTGACTGAAGCCTGTACATTTATTTTGTGTAGGCTAATCCTTGTAGGCAACTCCATAACATCGGCTTGTTCAGCAGTACATTATTATGCAGGTAAATATTCTTTACCCAACGTTCTTGCCATGGTCAGTTTTTTTTTCGTTTTTTTTTTTTCAAGTTTCTGTGCTGCGGTCACAGGCGCAGGTAGAAATTTTATTTAAGGGAGCGCACCACTTTCATTTGAAGGGGTGCCATGAAAGCAGATATGATCGAATGTCATTTATTCTTCTATATGCTATTGCTAAAAGAACTTCAGGAGAGGGAGATGGGGTATGGACCTGGTGTGCCAACCTTTCGCTGCGCCTATGGCTGTGGTAGATTAGTTTTGCTGCACGCTCCCATAATGGAACTGTGCAGCAGCTTGGGTGTTTGAGACGCATCATGTTTATTACCTGAACCCATAGGAGTTTTTACGATGACTCTGTTGTAAACTTTGTCTATTTCTTCATTTCATTTAGAGATACTGAAACTCATTTTAGGGCTTATGCAGTATTCTTCACAACAAATTTGCATAAAGAGAAAACAAAGTTAAGCATGTTTAAATGGTTTGGCATAGTTGCAAAAACTATAAGACATCCAAAAGGAAAATGAACGAATGCAACTTATTTTACTCATTCCGCTCATTCATGATAGCAATTGAATTAAACAACTATGCACTATTTGACTGAATCTTCAAGGAACACTTATACTTTCAAAGCATTGTGCAAAGGAATTGATTGAGACAGAGCGCACTGCAACTTTATAACGTATTTCATTAAACATAGCTTGACCACACTAGGCTAATTTTTGGACATTAATGTATCTGGCTCGTTGCTTCATAGTTCATCTGTTATGCTGGCTCAATGGACAATTAGTGAATAAAAAATTGGCCGTGTATCAGCGTGCTTCGTTGCAAAGGATATTAAAAGACCATAGTCTTTCGTCTGGAGGCAAATAGATAGATAAATGCTGAAGTGTCCGCTTTATAACGGGCCGGTGACTTGTGAGCCATCACCAGGCTTGAAAAAAAAAAAAGAAAGGTATTTTTTATGTTGGCTCATTGCCTTGCTACTTCGATTAAATCGATCCTATCATAACGAAGAGGAACATAGATTCATGGTCCATTTCTCTGCCTCTGCAGGCAAAACGACTTCTCTTTTTCCTTTAAGTATGCTACGTGGTAGAAAAGAGCGACTCGAAAGGGAAAAGTACAAGTGCAGTACTTGTCCTTTTCTCGTCCGTGCAGTACATGTCCTTTTCTCGTCCGTGTTTTTTACCGCGTAGTATACTTACATCTTGTATCACCAAATGATCCAATAATCTACTTTGATTAGCTTGTTTTCTCACTATTTGTGTCCTTTATCTATAATTTTCTGCCACCAATACTCTGTCTCTTACTGTGTAAATTAGGTGCTGTATACGTTATGGCACTATATGCCAATAGTGTGAAAAACGTGAAAGTTCTTTAGAACGCAGAGCCAGGTTGCAGCATTGGGTTGTTTTAGTTAAAGCTTAGTAGTTTATTAGTGAAGCGTACAAAATGCCCGCTTTTTTTATTCATAGCATCGCATTGTCAGCGCTCTGTAATTAACAATTTGCTATTTAAAATTAGGCAACTGTGCACTTTCTAAATCAATCGACACACTTCCTAACACATAGGCATCAACGTCACACCTCAAATATGCGTAATACTTGCTTTTTGATGAGCAATGCTCACAAGTATGAACACAGCCACCAGATTAAGAGGGGTGGGTTTTGAGCAAGGAATTAAAACGAATGGTTCATCAGACAGACCAATGGAAAGACAGACAGGCCGAAGTTTCCGTGTTAAAACATTTCAGGGCTATTGTCTTTAATCTTTAGGTATGCACACAAGAGGTGATACCTACATGCTGTATTTGCCCACTGCTCATTATCAATGTGGATCGCTTACTTTAATAAAGTAGTAGTACATTGTCCTGGTGACCAAGAAAAAAACTATTGACAGGTGACTCTTGTTTTTATGCTTCTTTTGTGGTATTTCTGGAACCCATGGTGTGATTCACTTGCAGCCCAGTACGAGCCAAACAAGAGTTACGTGGGCAAGGGTCTCTTCTCAGTGGACGGCTTCTTGCGCTACCTGATGAGTGCTGACAACCCTATCGTATCGCCAGAGAAGTTTGACCTGAGTATGGACATGGACCAGCCCCTGAACCACTACTTTATCAACTCATCTCACAACACGTACCTCACTGGGCATCAACTCACTGGTGAGCACTCATGCAGCGTATACTTGAAAATTAGTCTGCGTGATATAATCAGTTGATAAGATGCACAGAAACCTTGAAAGAACAAGGCGAACGTTTTCATAAAGTGCATTTCATCATGCTATGATTGTATTAGTGAAAGCACTATCATTGCCTTGTAATCCTAGAAATTACTTTAAATCCAAATGCATTTCTTGGTCGGGCTATGTCAGGAGCCCGTCGGGATCCATCCACTGCCCTCTCCCATAGCAACAGCTGTGGGTGTGCCCGTCTCTAGCAACCGGAATCTTCACCATGCCACGCTTTGGAGTTTTCAACTGTCAGCAGCAGCTGTGGGCACTTGCGCATATCCTCCCCCTAGCAACTGGAGCCCCCTCCACTCCTTCTTGATTAGAACGTGACTTGCCACTGCTTAAATGCAGTGCATTTGAAATGCATTTGTGCTGCCAGCGCTTGTGTAGCGTTTTTGTTCATTAGACGCTGACATTATGGCCATTACGTACAATGACAGGTGCGATATTTTGTTGCTACTTCTCTCGCTGTTCGGCCTCCTTCCTGCTCCCCACTTTTTCGTCTGCTCGCGACTCACTCTCGACCGTTTGCTGGCTGGGTGCCTCTCAAGAACATTCGAAAATGTGGGCTCGAGACACCGCTGTGGAACGCCCACGCTGAGCCAAGAACGCTGTCTGTTTTGTTCATAGCATTTTTAAACGTGCACGCTAGCTGCTAGAGCTAGAAATGCATACCACATTTCTCACGACAGAAAAACGTCACGTGCAGCGAATGGGACTATTGGCTGCGCGGTGTAAAAAAAAAATCACAGCATATCCACGGAGCGCATGATGATGAGTGGGGCGAAGGGTCCGTCTGTGTGACTGTTCGTGCACCCATTCGTCCATCTGTGTGACCATCCGTGTACCCATCCGTCCGTTCATATGCCCGTCCGTTCCTGCATCCGTCTGTGCATCCTACGTGCATTAATTTGTCCATCCGTCTCTGCGTCCATCCGTGATTCCATCCATAAGTTCATCTATCACTGCGTGCCTCCGTACATCTGTCTGTCAGTCCATCCGTCCATCTAGTCAACACTACAAGTACCGTCATCTCGTACCTTTTCATCATATATACAGCATATAGAAGTACCACCATCCTGCGGACATTCCAAGGACTAAATGAGAGGTGGCACACCCACACTTTCTTATGACCTGCGCTTCCTGTCTACTTACCACCTTTCACCGCCTCTGGTTCATGGCTATATACTAGTTCACTATATTCATGGCACTGTGGCCAAACCCTCGCTAAACCTTGCTAAAACCAAGAAGGTTACACCTAGCGAGTGTAACAAGGCAACCCTTGCTGGTCATATAGTGCTCAAAGTGTGTCTTTCTGATACCAGCATCTTTTTTTTTTTGAGTAAGCATCAAATTCAAGGCAAAATCTATTGAAGATTCAGTCACCAATACTCGTCTCTGTAAGTTATTTCATCAGAAACAGCTATCTATTTATTTATGATTAACGTCCGCTGGTTTCCTCCTCAATTGAAAAGAATGCATGCATGCTGCTCCTCTAGCCCGGCTGTGGTAGTGGCTACCTACTACTACTACTGCAAACATCGTGGATGCCCGACTCGCAGCATAGGGAGCTTCGCTCCCCCAAAAAATCACACAGCATATTTATGGACTAAGTGGGGCAAAGTGTCCGTCAGTCCATTCTCGCTTCCATATGTGCAACTGTCCCTGCATTCGTCAGTCCATGCATTCATCTGCCTGTCCTTCTGTTCATGCATTCGTCCATTCATCTGTGCATCCGTCCGTGTATCTGTCTGTCTGTCCATCCATCCATGCATCTGTCTGTCTGTCTGTCTGTCTGCTTGTCTGTCGGTCCGTTCGTGCACTGTACGTCCGTCTTTCTATCTTGTAAACACTCCTAGTACCGCCATTTCGCAACTTTTCATAATATATTCATCATATAAAAGTACTGCCATCCAGCGAACATTTCGAGGACTAAACGAGAGCTAGCTACCTACTGCTACGACTACTACTGCTACATACATCGCAGATGCATAACCCACGGCATAACTAACTTCACCACTAAATAAAACATTATTCTTCTAACACTGTGTTCTCACGTGCGAAACACCATTATGAACACCATGCAATGCATTCGCATTACCTCACGATTCCCTTCGGGGAGGGGGAGGGGCATTTTTTTACGCCTTGCCTTATGATGTTTGTTCAAAGGTTGGATCCCTGTATGTTTCTATAGCCATGTGGTTATGATGGCCAAGATGCCGCTTTGTCTATTAAGGATGGAACGCTTTATGTTGGCGAATGTTTTGTTGAGAAATGGGAATTCACACTGCTAGCAATATACACCTTGATAACGGCGAACAGATGGCCGGCCATCGATAATCTACTAAGTGCTGAAACGCGTCGGCTTTCCTGCATATGCTGCTGAAGATTCCGTTATCCTTGGTAAGTTCTCGAAAGAATTTGACTGTTCTCATCCTGCGCTCATTATTAACAGAAGTATCTCAAACATTGCGGCTATTTTTGTGCCGAGCATTACTGACAGTCTTCGTGGGGGAAGTTTGAATACATCAACAATGGTGTATATGTAACTGATGTATCCAAATTCATAAAAAATACATATATATCATCCCACCCGTTTTAATATACATGTGTTACTGTTAGTGATGCCTTGTGGATGTCTCAGCTTTAATGATGTGCAAGGGACGTGTTAGATATCTCTTTTTTAAGTATCGTCACTTTTATAGCTGAACGAAGCAACTTGGTTAACAGCTTGATTGTTATACACTTGTTGTGTTAGTCCGAGTCTATTGTAGTCTATTCAAGCACTCTAAATGCAACATCTTGATGATGCTTGCATTGTTGTAATCAGTTGAGCTATGAGCACAAATAAGTCTCTACTTAGACTAGTCAAAACGAATGATTTTATTCTTTTATTAAATTTGTAACATGGAATTCAATGGGCCGATTAAAGCCATCATTACCAGCTAGCCTGCTAGAGATTGCCTCGTGCTGTTTGTTTACACGCCACCTTTTTGAATATCTCTCTCAGCGACGCACCAAGGGGCTTTCGAATACTGAATTATAGATTCGAATCAAACATTACTTGAATGATGACTTCGAATCAAATTCCAGCACAAAGCCAGCACAATGGGAATAGCTTTCACATAGTTGAGCAACCATTTAGAGAAGAGCTCTGTAATTCCATAAAATATTATTCGAAAGAGGTGTTCATAGACTTGGCAAAATAACATATCAGGTACTTTTAAATCGAAATGAAGTACTGTAACTTTGTGAAGTAAATTTGGGAACAGCTATGACTACAGCATTTCACTTATTCTTTCAATGTACGTACCGAAAAAAATTAGTGACTACAGCATCCAAATTGGTACATTGTCAGCAGCTTCTAAATTAACGCTAAAAATCTAAACAATGTTGAGCCGAGCACTACACACGCCTGAATATGAAATAAATTCATAGGCTAGTTATCACGTGAGCCTTTGCGCCAAAAGTAAGTGAACATTTATGTTAAATATCATAACTTCAAGAATGGTTTATAAAAACACAACTTTCTCGTCTATTCTGAATGATTAAAATGTAACAGTTAAAACCGAATATATCGACTTTGGTTCAATGGTATTATCGTACATTTCAAACCCTTTTTTTAGTTTACTTTCTTAGGGCGCAGAACGTTCAATAAATGTGTCACTGCACATGTCGTGGGAACATATATGCAATCAAGGGGGCGAGATGATGCACACAGCAAAAGGAAAAATGGTGGAGCATGCATTAGAATATCTTATTCAAATCCTGAAACTACATTTTAACTAAAAAAATACTTGTACTAATTGTCCAACACGTCAACAGATGGGGCACTTGCACACTCAGCCTTGGGAATGAAAAACGTTTCATGTATTTCACGTGCCCTCTTGTCCCTATATGCTGCCATTACTTTGCATTCATCAAACAGGAGAGTGAACCCACAATTTTCACAGTGACTTGCGAAGTGGATGCCCACTATCCGCGCAAAATGTTGCGGCGCTCCCCAAGCCGATAGTTCAGACAGCGCCCCGTCTGACCGATGTAGTATCGACCACATAACAAAGAAATGCTATACACAACAGCTGTATTACATTCTACGAACGTGTTTGCATAGAGACCCTAGCTGGTTTTTTGGCCGCGAAAGCAACCTTTACCCCGATATTTTCAACAATTATTTTTAAGCAGTGAGACAGTTTTTGCACATAAGTTATGGCAGTAACTTTCGGCCTTGGCTCTTCCTGTAGTAGAAACTTTATTGTACCAGAGAGAATGAGGGGGAAGGTGGGTGGGTCCCCTAGTCCAGGGCCCCACTGGCCTAGTTGTGTGCTTTGCTTTCTTTTCCTGCTTTAATGCAATCAAAAGTGACTCTGCTATTTCTGAGAGCATTTGATCAGGAAACCCTGCTTTTTTAACTTGCTAGTCTTGTTGCCAAAACTACTGCCAATTTGCTGATATTAGAACGTTCAAAATTATGTGCTTAGTCCTATCTGACTTCTTTCTGAAACCTTCTGCTCAATAAAAACGTATATTTCTTTTGAAATGCAATACCAACCAGCCCATGTAGCCATTCATTTTCAAACATTTGTCGAGAATTGTGATTCTTTAAGGCCAGTTCTTCAAAAAAAAAAAAAAAAAATTCAGCTGCACAAAACATATGCAGCCAGAAGAACATCGGCCAACGTCAAATGCCCAAAGCTGTTGGCATTCTTCTCTGAAAAGTTTATTTTCTCTCAGGGAAAAAAAACTTTCCCATTCACATTGATGCAAGCGAGTGGTGTGTTTAAGAGGGTAACAGCAGTTACAGGTGTTGCAACTGTCCACTGTGCCAGTGCACCGCAAGCGCCATTAGTGGCCACTTGTGGTCACTTCAATTTTCACTGGCCTACTATAAACCGTCGTCCTCCCATCTGCTACGCTCGTGTTGCATATATT